AAAGTTTGAAAAGGTGCAAACATGTTGCAATGTGTTGCTTTAAAAAGACAATCATATCTATGACACACATTAGGAATATTTTACATTACCTCTATGGGCCATTGGAGTATCTCATACTCATCAGAACCATCAATGTCAGGGACGTTCTCGTAAACTCTCGTCTCTGCAAGTCTCGTTCCCGCATCATCATTGACAGGGTAGTTTTTTTCTGACTTAAATTTCTTCGGATGAAACCACCTCCCCCAGCGGTGTGATCCTTTCACAAACTTTAGAGTGGTTTCAGCGGGAACAGAATCTATTGGCATCCATATTGAGCAGTTCTGAAACAATACCCTTTTAAATGTAGTGACATGGAGAAGTCTCATTGCTGATATTTGATGAAACTGATATCGTCAATTTGTGCTTCATAAATGTATGAAGTGAGAGCATAAATGCCTTGTCACGTACATAAATCAGTTTCAAACAAAAAAAAATTGAAAAATATGCAACGCATTGAATCCTTCGGGCAACAGAAAATGCTTTTCAACCTGTACTTTCTTCAAATTACTGGTTGTAAATCTGACCTACTTACATGTATTTTCCCTCAAGTTCGTAAAGAAAAGAAAGTAAACAGAAAACGTTTGTGCAAATATTTATTTTGGAAATAGTGAAAACAATATTCAAGTTTTTAAAAGATATATGACGATATTTGGTCAGGTATATCGATAATGATTTGACATACATGCATCCACTCGGTAATACACGTACCGGTAGACATATCTAATTTAGGTATTGACAACCCATGCATGGTGAGCACGTGGTCTTCACATTTCAGCCTTTCTACACACCTTAAATCCATCAACAGGATAGTAAGCCTGATCGTGATGCCAGGGAGTGGCTTTAAGTGTATGAGGGTCTTTGGTTAACACGTGCTCGTGGTAAAAGATAGCAACCTGGGTGGAGAATAGAGACGGTTAATTCATAATCTGCGACCTGGAGGTGTCACAGCTGCTCAGTTTTACTCTAAAAGTGTTGAGTGTAAATAAAAAATAAATAATACCTAGAGACATATGTACAACTGCAACATATATTTATATACATGCTATATATACCTACCGGAGACTGCATCAACGTCCCAGCAATTTCAGCTGCAGGAGAGTTATAAACATAATCTTTAAACTCCTCTATTTCCCTCCAATTGAAATAATCATTGAAGAAGTACCCGGTGCCTCCGGGAGCCTGAAGTCGTTCGCTGTACTGACTCGATCTAGCGAGGTTTTTCTCTATCCCGGCGGCTACCTTCTGGACCCACTCCCGGGCGAAGACACCGCGGAGACACACGGCACCGTCGGTCTGGAACCTCTGGATGGCTTCCTCGGTGACAGCGGCCAGAGGCATGGCGGGCTGTGTACGGTGGTTGTATTGTTTACCTTAGATATACAGAGTCGATCTATATATATTAGCTTTGGTTTGATGTTAGTAATCACGTGGTCTTTTGCTTACATAACTATTCACTCAGTAATTAAGAAAAAAACTTTAATAACCGTTTTAATATTTTTTAGTGTTTAATATTGTTTAATATTGTGAGATCATTTCTAATTATAGTTATACCCATATGCAAATTTTCACTAGTGCACAGTGTTGCATAAGATACAATAACATTCTAAAGCCTTACCTGGGCAAAGAATGTGTGTGCGTGATTTGCTTATAAAATGTATATTTTGAAAGGAAACATGTGACAAGACGTGCGTGTGTAAAATGATTTACAAGATTTACTGAACTTTGTCTTCCATTTCCCAACATAATGCTTTCTTCATGTGACAACTGTTATTTTTGGTTGAGGGATCGAGGTGAGAGTGGCTGGTGGGGAGTGGGGGGGTGGAGGGTAACATTTTTTTTCAATTTGAGTTAGGTTATGACGGATTAAATTTAACCTAAAGTACGAAAGAATTTGTCAATTTTGCACTCTAACGAAAATCGGTATTTACAAGTTCCACGTTAATCGCCACAAAAAAAAAGGATGCGACATCAGTCAAAAATCATACCGAGTATACAGTCTTTGTTATGATAACGTTTGGTTTGCACCTCATGCTGTCTGTGATATTTCACAAGTAAGCACACTCCGCGCTTGGCGTTTGTAACATGTGATTGTCGCAGGTTGTGAAAACTGAGGGACAATCTGTACATAAATCATAATCTACTAGGAATGGATCATATATCTTTCAAATAAACTGTGGTCTAAAATTTATGACAGGATATACGAGTCCTAAACAACCAAAATTAATAAAACTACACTCACGCTGTTTTCATTATAAAACATGGGGCTGCTCGATCGTAAAGAGATTTATGGTTATACAGGGGCGGATCCAGATTTATTTTCTGACAGTCTTCGAAATTATCTTTGTTGATCCATCCTCCACCCGTCAATGTGAATTTGAAAATCTGACCTTCTTCTGGAAGACTCAGAAGACGGCCTCAATACGCCCCTGTTATACGCCTTGATTCCATACCGACATTTCGCACCCGGAGTCTTCATCGCCGCCTTTAACTGCCACCTGCATCAGATATTTTCTTTTTACTGCTTTTAATACAAAGATATCTATTTCAACACCAGTTAATGGATTCCCGTATGCAGGTCAAATCTTCAAATGCAATTATCTGAAGAGTAAACTAACACTGTTTCATTTCTTGTTCCCCCCCAGAGTTCTGAAAACTTTATACTACGCGACCTGCCTGTCATACAAATTGCTTCTTCAAGAGTTATTTTGAGGTAATCGAAAATGAATTAAGTTTTTTTTAATGGAACTTGATCATAATTTGGCGTTTATGTCAGAATTTTTAAGATTTTTAAATCTTAAATTTTTAAAGATATTTAAAAATATATATGTAAATCTTCCAGATCTAAGGACCGCAAACATGTACGGCACTGCAGTGGCAATAATATTGATGGTTCAGACGGCGCTATTTATGAGCGGTAACACCACACCACGGACAAGGAGAGACGGAGCTTGTTCATGTTCTACACCTGAACCATGTCCTGCTTGGTTTGACATAATTTCACAATTTTTCAACTACATAGACTTGAACGAGGACGGTCATCTTAATGGAGATGAGTTTGCCGCTTTAGCAGACTATTTAAGTAACCGATACCCGTTCCTGGAACAGCTCAACAATCTCCTCATAGAAGCATTGTATAAATCAGGATTTGGAGCTCATTCGATTAATATCAACACATTCGTTGGTTGTTTAAAATGTGTGTTAGCAGAAATATATCTCATGCAATAAGCTACTAGTACATCTCACATTCAGACCAGGGTAATATTACAATTTTTCTATCTTCATAATTTTTATTCGTTCAGCTTGTTATATCACTGCGTTGGTTAAATTATGTGATAATACAAGACCAATGTGACTAAATTACCAGAGATATAAAAATGCTTTTATATATACTCACGTATAATCTAGAGAGCCTATTCTACTGTGCTGGTTTCGACACTTTCCCTTGCTTGCATGTTAAAAAATAATAAGTCACACCACATTATGCTTCTTTCCTTTTCTGCTGCTAGATCGTCTCCCCCCATAATCAATAATCAATAATCAATCTCTCTCTCTCTCTCTCTCTCTCTCTCTCTCTCTCTCTCTCTCTTAGCGCATTCAGAACCAGTTGTTCTGGGGACTAACTAGTCCGCAGATCAAATATGGCGCGACCCACTTGAAAGCTTGGCGAGATTTTTAAAATTGCTCTGACCCTGCTTGGGCCCTTGTGTTGGAGGCGGGAATCCATTGTCATGAATGCACTGGCCCTAATGTTAGACTGGGTTTCCATACTAAGATCGATCCATCTGCATCGACCTAACTCCCTGTAGTTTCACGCTAAATTGCAATCATCTCAAGAGGCTTAAATGTCTGTCAAGCCTACCGAATCAGCTAGGGTTAAAGATAATTACTAGGCGTGACAGACGTTTAAACCGGTTAGTTTGATAGCAATTTAGTGAGACTCCCACTCCCCAAGGACATAGATCGATCCAAAAATCTGTGGGAATGGTCCCTTACACTGCGTTGCCTTTGCATGTTGAAAGGAATACGGTAAAGCCTGCTCTACAATGCACAGACTAGGGTATAACATGTATAACCGCTTTTCGTGTTTACACAATCCCTTTTTGCGTTCTATTTATCACTACTGTCACTATATATTTCTGAATTATTATCAAACAGCAGTGATATTTGGGGTCAATGTCGGGGCCTCGAGTTGAATACAAAACAGCTTGAAGGTGTAACCTAGTGGAACGGGATTTATGGTCTGTTATAGAAAACAAAAAAGTGTAATTGTTACCTCATGGGAAGGACACTGTATTTGTGTTTTGTGCTTAAAAGCTGTCTCGTATGGAGAATAAAAATGATAAATTATTACCAAATGTGCTCGCCTGGGCAGAAAGGAAAAAATTTCAGTTCCAAAACGCATTTTAAATCAAAGAATTGTACTCCCTTCACACTTTGCTAGCAATAAAATATGTGAAAATATATTATCTGTTTCGATTTTAATAGCCTTGCCATGCTTTTGGGGAATAAGTAGAGATCCCATACGGTGTGTTTTATGTTTCTTTTCTGTTAAAATTAGATTGTGCTATACGCGTGGCGGAGTCCATTGCGTTAGATAAGTATTATGAGGAAAATCAATTGGTGAAAGACGAGTCCGAAGAGGGTAAACGATATATTTATGGGCTTAACTGTTTCCTCTCATTCCATTTGTTAATCAAACGACCAATATATACGGTTCGCATAAACAGAAACGCATCCGAATCATTTTGATGATCGAAAAAAAAAAAACAGTACCATACTTATATTTAGAAAAGATTACAAAGATCTACAAGTGTTGGTCTCTATACGCTGCGTTGTTTTTGCATCTTTAAAGGGGACACGGTAAAACAACTGTCCAATATGCAGCAAGGGTATTATAACCGTTTTTAGTGCCTACACTACCGCCCTTTGTTCCCTTCTACCTATTACTATACTTCTATTTGTTAAATTTTTTGAGGTCGGGATCTCGTGTTGAATAAAGAAAGGTTATCTCTATCATACATGTAAAACAATCCGGAAGATCTACATTAAAGATGTCTGTGGTTATGCATCTTGATCCCCCCCCCCCCCACCTAAATTTCGCATCCTGAGTCTTTTCGACGCCATTAACATCCACCTGCTTCAGATATTCTCTTTTTAATGCGTTTTAATACAAAAACGTCTGATTCAATACCAGTAAATAGATTCCCATATGCACGATGCCTTCAAACACAATTTTCTGAAGAGTTAAATATCACTGTATCATTTCCTAACAAAAGCCTGAAACCATCATACTGCAGCAACTGCCTGTCATACAAATTGCTTCCTCAAGGGTTATATGCAGGTAATGAAAATGAATACTGACATATTTATTAGTATTTTCCGTTTATGGTCCTGAATAATCTGCTGCATGTTCTTCATACAACTGTAGCTAACTTTTACTATTGAATATTCAGCTGAGTCTGTTTCCACAAGGGAATGTTTGTTTAACAGCAGGGGAAGATATTACTAATTTGTGTTTTAAAGACATATTTTTTGAGTAAGGCGGGTTAAAGCGAATCACTTTTCTGATGCGTCTTCTCTTTTCATGGGAGCAAAAATTACTTGGTTTAAACTCACTGTAGACCTTCCGTTGTATCCCGCCGTTTCAAGCGCCTTCTTGTACACATTTTAGATCCTTCTGCAATTACTCCGCTTGATGAAAGAGACATATGTTTCGTGTTTATTTATTTCTAGTGTGTAAATGCTCCGCACAGTTGAGCTCTCTGGATAGCACACACACACACACACACGCACACACACACACACATATTGCGATTCAGTTCAATCGCCGATTCACCTAGGACAGTTATACAGTATTCAGAGAGCTCACCCATGGTCTTCCTCGAATATACATGGAGTATTTTGATTATGATAGAATCGATCAGTAATTATCCATGCACTGGAGCATTCACAAGGCCTAACGTTGTTGTTAAATCAAAGCTCAATATTGTGTTGATAAAAAATTGACACAATCAAATCACACTAAATCCCCTCCAATTTCAAAGAATTACATGACTGCATTTTCAATATGCCGGGAGATGATTATATGACCTTCTTGCCTCACCATAAAGTGCATTATACTGATAATACCTACATGTAAGATACTGTTATAGTTTAAGTGACTGTTCATTTGCAAGCAGCTTAGCAGCTTTCTCAGCCACTGTTCTCAATTAAGGTATAGCGAGCAATATTAATGTTATGTGTAAGGGTTCATGTTACTCCCTACACAGGTTCCATCTGAAATCTCGCTTGTCACTGAGGCATGGAAGGGAGAATATAACAACAGGATGTCAGGAACCACAGTATAGAAAAAGTGTAATTAGTACTTTTAAAACTTTCATACATGATGTAGTATTAATTCAAACAGAGGAAGCCATTGTTTCATAAAATTCATACATGAGAAGCCATGTTGTATAAGTAGCTTCAGATAATATTTTACACCTAGAGCTGTTCAAATTTCAAGGTCCTTTGTTTCGAAGCCGGTAATCTGTTAGAGCTTGATTACATGGAGTTATTGGGAGTGCCCACCATGAAGGGGTGGACTTGTGTCTGAAGTAACCAGTCAGTTTTTAAGTTATGTGATGGAAGTTTAATTGATAAAGTTTATTATAAAAATATTTAGACTTAAATCTAGAGGGGACGGGATAGAAGAAGCAGAGAGGAGATTGAGAGAAAGGGGAAGAGAGAGGTCATACTTGTATCATGTAGGCCTAACTGTTAGTGTAGTAAAACATGTTCTGTTGAAGTTACAACATGGAGTCGTTCCATTCTTTTCCGTGTGCAGAATTTAAGACAAGGAACCTGGGAATCTTTGTAGCAGTATTACAGATAGCGTTATCGAGAGATGTGAGCCCATTGTGCCAAACCCCTTGGGTTATCTTATTAAGGGGCTATTTAATGTAATGTGGGGTCCCGGGATGGTCTTAGGATGGTCCCCCACACGGAGTCTAAACTTTTCTCAGACCTTTATGTCTTTCTCTTCTGTATGACACCTTATAATTGGACTAATAATATTATTTGTCCAAGTTTCTGCTACGTCTCACTCCAAATTCAATTGAGTCTCTCAAAATATAAATTTCGACCCAACGGGGAAATTATTTAAATAACTGGACACTACTCACGGTGTAAAAAAAATACAAAATACTGGTGAAAATCTCATATTTTATACCATTTATTCAGATTAAGAGCAAGCAGCCCCTCAAATCTCGGGGACCTGATGTTCCGGGGAAATAATCAGAAACCTAACACCAAATACTTGATTTAAATAGCGAAGCTTGTTGCTCTCTCTTTCTTTCTCAGCTTGTGATAGCAATCGCCATTTTATTCATCCGTTTCTAACTTAAAGAAAATATTATCGCTTGTGCATTGCTAAATTATTCATTGAGAATAGAGACTGTGAAAAGCTGTCACCTCCACATATTGCCCGCATATATTGGGAATACACGATTGAATTTTATGCGAGTTTCATCATTTCGATAATGAGGCATGTCCGTCTCGACGGACGACAATTGATGTAACTGTATGTCTGTATCGATGCACAGGATCACCTTACGTGGGTATGGAGAGACTATCAAGGTAACAATGCCATCAAAGTGCTTTCTGAGAAAAAAACAAATAAATAAATAAAATATATATCCCGGTTTTTGTTATTTTCACCGTTGAATATGGAAAGAACAACTACAAGAAAAGTATCAAAAGTTTTAATCATTGAAGGTATTGTCAAAGGGATGCAACATTAAGTTGTAACATTGTTGTTTCTTTATAAATGTTGATAAAAAAACATTTCCGAAAATAATCACACCAACGGTCTCTTCTTGAAATTAGAATTTTGACTAGCTGAATAATAGTTTTAAACCGTACCAAATGGCATCGTTCGCCCTCTGAAATACCAAAAAGCGGGCCCCGAATCCTGCGCCAAGGGGGTGGGGGGTCGGCTTCACATCAGCCTCTTCAAGTAATCCTGGATCCGCCCCTGTAAAGGGTCGTATAATCTGAAGAAAAGTGAATATGCTTTATAGAATGGAGAGATTAAGAGGTTACTGCTTCCGTTTGCATTAGAATAAAAGAAATGTATCATGTCTATTTGACATTCAATTGCCCATCCCCCTTCCACAGCAGGAAAATAGCGAAAATATTATTCATCGATTCCAAAAAAAGTAATAAAAGAGTGAAGATTGTTTCTCTTCCCCTATATCTTTCTCAAATAATACATGTATTATCGATCGTCATTTCACACATTCGGGGGTGACAAGCAAATCAAACTACTTTTCAGAGTATGCCTTATTCTTAAGTTGCACTGATAAATTATTCATTGGAAATAGAGACAGTGAAATTCTGTAAGCTCCACATGAGAACCGCAAATGTAACGGAAATAAAAGTATCTTTAAATGCAGAAGAACTACAGCCCTACCTTACGATGAGGCGCAAACTTTCCATGAGAATATATA